ACCGCGTTCGGTCGCACTGCCCTCCGCGCGTTTCCGCGCACTGGGACAGGTAGTGGAACAAAAGAGAGCCCGAGAGTTTCCACAAAACGGAGCACCGGCCCCCCAACCACAACACCCGTAACACTAAACCCCAACCCGCCTCGTAGGCTAAGTGCGGGACCCCCCTACCACCAGCAACGGTTCTCCCTCTCGAGCTTGGCCCCCGACAGTCGCGACCCCATTTTGGGGCTTGGCACACCGCTCTGGTATCACTCACACTACATCCAGTATGAATGCTAACCCTCGCAAGGTATGTTCTGGTTGCAGGTGTGTGCGACAGGATGGGAGCATATACTACAATGCAGGCACTCTGTACACGGCTGAGGCTCGGGCGCCATGACTGCGAAACGGTTGAATCAACAGTGCACACAACTCACTGGTAGACCACTGTACAGTATGTTAACACTTCTTGTTTGCCCCCCTCGTTGGCTGCTGGCCCCCCCCCCGCGAAGCCTAGTCGGAATCATCCGTTCGGTAGCTAGCTGGGGCCCTACGGCGGCTCCCCGGTGGGTCCAGCAGCCTACGCCGTGCCCCTATCGGAAACGCTTCTGCTTCCGCCTCCAGTTGTTCTTGGAGGTAGTGCGACTCTGCTATATCGGTCGCTGTTGGACCACTGTCGTGACTGGGCTCCCCCTCCGTCTCAGCATATTGCTCAGCTGACGAAGGCACGTCCAGCTCGGCCATCTCGCTGCGTAGCCCCCAGAACACTGGCTGGGTGGGGACATGTTCCTGGCTGTCCACTCCCCTGTTCTGGGTCTCCCCTTCACTGTGGTTGCGCTGCAGCAGAGTGTCTGCTGGGTCCTCGTTGGCTGTCATCTCCAGGTTCTGGGGCACACCAGGTTGCATGTCCCCCGAGCTTCCAGCATCTGGGCTGCCTTGTTCGAGAGGACCCCCGAACAGGCTTGGCAGAGCATCGGCTTCTTGGGTCTCCGCGTTCCCCTGGCTGTCAATCATCAGGGTACTTGCTGGCATGTACTGCAGGAGGGACGTAGAGGAGCTCCAGAGCCAGTCCCCCTGCCTCTTGCAGAAGGCTGGCTACAGTTAGCAGCCAGCCTTCACTTAACCACTCACGGTCCCCTCGAAGAGCTCGGTCGCGGGCTGCGGTGATGGCCTTGATGGCCGTCCTGCTACCTTCTATGGCCTCTGTCACTTGTAACCCCGCTTGGTCTGTGGTAGCGCGGAGCAACGTGTTGAGGCCCTGAAAAAGGGTCGCGATCCCCACTGAGAGGTCTTGTGCCAGGTCGTCGTCGTTGAGTTCGCTAGGTAGGCGCCGTGCTAGGCGACGCAGTTGCTCTTCCACCTCGAGGAACTCGTTGGAGACTCGCCGCTTTTTGTGCTCCCTCCAGAGCACATTGGCTTCCCCCCCTTGATTGTGGGGATCCAGGAGCAGCAGTACACTTTCCACGGCTTGTTCCAGGTGCATCTCCGGGGTCCCCGCGAGGATCGCTGCGATGCGCCGCAGGTGGCGCCGGACCATGGCTATGGCTAGGCATCCCTCCGGAACAACATGGGCCGGAGGATCGGAGCTGCTTGCCGAACCCCCGAGTCGGGTCTGCATCATATTTGTTGTCGTCATTCTCCTCGTGGTGCTCCCCCCGCTCTTCGGCGGTCTCCCTGGTCTTCATCGGGCGTTGCTTCGGGGCGACCCCGTCTTTGTGGCATGAGACGTTCTCCCAAGTCTTCCCAGCTGTCCACTGACTGTCTCCCTCCTGTGGGAAGGTGCGCTGTACCTCTTCCCACAGTCCAGTCGCGCTGCCAGTCCACAAAGTATTGCAGCGCCGCTGGGTGAACGAGTCTCTTGTGACTCCACCTGTTCGTCCCCTTCGGCATGGTGAGGATGTAGGCGTCCCCCGCCCGGAGCTCTGTAGCCGCTGGGTCCTGGTTCCTTTCAGTGGCTGTAACGAACAGCATCCACCTTGCCGGGGCACCTCCCGCTGGCGGCCCCAGTGGCAGCAGCAGCATGGCGGTGCCTATGGCCAAGTGGCCACTGTGCGTGCTTTCAGGCTTGCGCTCCTGGCGAGCCCTTGCAAAGGGTCGAGCTTGGCCACTGAAATATGCTGGGCCCCAAGCGCCCCCGTTGCTGAGTGCTTTCATGTGCAGGAAAGAGTCAGGCGAGATAGGGAGCTCAGGCGGCATAGTTCGCGGCACACGGCCTGCACCTAAACTCAACAACCATACATTCAGCTCTCCTTCCACCCGTTTTGCATCCCCCGTGGAGGTGGAGCTGCCGCTTCCTCCTCTGCGTCGCCTTGGGTCGCTGGGGTGTGGGTTGCTGCTGGTGATTGCTGGTGGCTTGCTGGCCCCCCTTGACTGGACGTTGCGTGCTTGGGGATGCCCCCCCTTGTGGTAGCGGGTGTGCTGCCTGAGCGTCGTGCGGTCCTTGCGTCGGCTGCGTTGCTTCTGGTGTTGCTGGGTTGTGAGAGCTGGCTGCGGTTGCCCCTGCTGTTGCGCTGCTTGTTGCTCCCCCTGCAGTGCGGGGCTCGAGGTGTTTGTTGAGAAGCTGTGAGAATCGCGCCATGTCGCACGCATGCTGGGCTGGGTCTGGGATGGCTTTGGATCTCCCCCCTGTTTGTTGTTGGGTGGCTTGTTGCCGTGCTGTGTGGATCGCCTCTTCCCACTCGTCCTCTTCAGTGTCTTCTGAAAGACCCACCCACCAAGCAACCTGCTTCCACGTTTTGCTTGACGGCTTGCTCATGCCTTTAATTTCGAAGATTGTTTGCACCGCTGCTTTGAATCTTTTGCCTCGCATCCTGTGCTCTCCTCCCCCTTCGTGCTTCCGCTGGCCGTAGTTGTGGCTGCTAGTCCCCCCGTAGTCTCGCTGCGGCCACCCCTTGTCTTCGTCGTCTTCCTCCAACTCTACCGTGGTCGGTGGGTCGTGGGGAGGTGGTAGCGGTGGGTCTGTTGTCGCGGCTGGTGCCCCCGGGTCGGTGGTTTGTGTGTCTGGTGTTGGCTGAGGTTGGTCTGCGGTCATTGCTGGGGCTGTGGGGTCTTCGCTGGTTGTCGTAGGTTCTGTTGTTCCGGTGGTGTCTGCTGGTGGCTGTGCAGTTGCTGGGGTCGCCGGGGCGTCGTTGTCGGCTGCAGCTGTGGCCGCTTGTGCGGCCGCCTGGTATCTGGCCCTTTGCCAGCGTGGCTTGCTCATGCTTGAGCTAGGTTGCTCTGGCCCTGTGGGGCCAGTTGTTGCCGCTGCAGATTCCCCTGCCTCTTCGGGCGCTGTCGGGCTGTCGTTGGTGGGGTGTCCTAGCCCTGTGGGGCTCGCTGCTGTCATCACTGGCTCTGTTGTCTCTTCCGGTGGTTGCTGGTGGTGTTCGGTTGGGTGCTGATGTTGTGGTGTGAGATCGTCGCTGCATTGGCTGAGGCGAGGTGAGCTGATGCTTGTCCAGGGTTCCGTTGCTGCTGCTCCCTCACTGCCTGGGCTTGTCTCTGCGAGTGTGGAGGTGTCTGTGTCCGAGGCTGCTTGATCGGTGGTGGTGCCTCGTTGGGCTGTGGGTGTTGGTGGCTGAGTTGGTGGCTGTGTTGGTAGTGTGGGAGCTTGGCTCGGCCTGGGTCGCTGAGATGGCTGTGGTGGTGTTCTCGTCGCTCTGTTGGTGTCGGGGGGGGTGGCCCCCTCCGCCAGTTGTGCCCTCGCCGGGTTGGGTTGCTGGGCCTGGAGAGTGTAGCCGTATTGGTTGGTGTGGCTTGCGAGGGGTGTGTGTTGGGGGTAGTGCCCCATGTACCCCATGGAAGGCATCTGTTGCATCGGGTATGCTCCCGGATTGTGTGGTAGGAGGCTGATCCCAGCGGCTTGGAGGAGAGACTGGTAGTGAAGGTGGAGTGCCATTAGCTCATCCGCATGGTGGTTGGCTTGGGGTTCGGCTGCTGCTGTGGTCATCCGTGGTGTTGTGTGTGGTTGTGGTAGGCACACAGCCGGTGTGCAGGTAAGCCTAGGGTGGCTCTGTCGCGGTGGTTGGGTCCCCCCGGCAGTGGGGCGCGGCTGTTGCTGTGGTGGCGGCTGCTGCTGAGGTCGTGGTTGGGCTGGCTCTTCGTCTGGCTGGTGCCACGGATCCGTGTCCGGATCGTACGGTGGTGCGTAATGTCCAAAATTGGCTGCTGCTCGCTGTGCTGCCGTGAAGTATTGGTCCTGAGCCGTGGGTTGTTGTGGTGCCGGCTGCAGGGCTGTGTTCGGGGCCACTCACTTGTGCGTGTGGTGAGTGGTCGGCCGCCCCAGGCGTTGTGGGCCAGGGCTGTGCTGTTGTCCACGCGTCCTCTGTGGGTCCTCCTCCATGCTGTTGCTGCGGTGGCTGTAGTGGCAGCTGCAGGTGGTGTAGAGTCTGCTGTGGGGCTTGCTCAGTCGCTGGCTCAAGTATGCTTGGGTGCTGGGTGTGTGGCTGTGAGGCCGGTTCGCTAAGGTCGGCCTGCTGCCCCCCTTGCTCTTGCATTGGCTCATCGGGACCCACTGCGACCTCTGCGGTTGGCGGTCCCTCGTGGGTTCTGGGCACTCTGTTCCCTATTCGAACCGCTTGCCCCTGTGGTGGGCTGGGCGGTCTTTTAGACCCCTGCGCAAGCCAGAGGACTGCCCACGCACCGAAAAACAGCGTAAGCTTTCGAATTGGGGCCATGGCGCGGCCTGTCGTTGGGTGCTGTGCCTCGACGTACTCGAGGTGACAACGGCTGCATCATGTGCTTGTATGCCGACTTTGGCTCCCTAGCAACATGAAGTCTGCACATGCTGGAACTCCGACTGAAAACTGCATGGCATGTTGGCTTTCTTTCCTTCTCTCTCTCTCTCTGTCTTTCTTTCCTTCCTTTTTCGCCTTCCTTTCGCGGATACCCGTTTAATTTTTTTTGATCCTTATTTAATTTTTTTTGATCCTTATTTAATTTTTTTTGATCCTTATTTAATTTTTTAACCCCTATCCCACCACATCCCAGCACAAATCTCTTGTTCGCTCAAAGTGACATACTTAAAGTCTGCGACACCAGGCCTCGGTGACGCCGTCTGGCGCTGGCCCGGGCTCCATGTAGGAGGCATCCCTCATAGTCTGGTCATACCATGACAGTTGACAACGTGGATGGGTCTGACAGGTAAGGTACTGCAGAATTACCACGATGAAGAATCTTGCAACGTCTGCTAATAAACTACGAGCTCTGGCAATACGCCAAGCTCAAGCATTCAGGTGCTGTTGAAACCATGTCAACAGTGGAAAGCATGGGATGCGATCTTGACACGGCGCCGACTTGTCAGACTAGATGCTTGCTGACACCAGCTTTGTCTCCTCAGCGGCCTGTCTCTTTGGACAGGAAGTCCTCAGGCAAGTCGGAATTGCAGTACGTCACTCCTGACTCCATGAGCTGCACTGCCTGTGAGAGGCAGGGCTTGCCACACACTCACCATCACTCACCCGCACCCCGATATACTTGCACCTTCGCACCGTAGAAGGAGGGAATTGCAACGATAAGACAGATCAACCAGGAGAAGGACCACAAAAGGCATCCAGGAAGCCGGAGGCACGTGTAGTCTGCGCGGAAAGAACCTCCTACTCTCGAGGAGTCCTGCACAAAAAAGAAGTCCAAGAGTTCAGCTGCATAAGTTCACGTATCCTGGCGAAAGAGCGTAATTCACTAGTTCTGACAACGAGGGCTTCAGGATTGAAGCTGGCTCGGGGCTTTGGCTTTCGGGCCTCATTCACTCTATCTGGGGAATTGGAACAGGCAAATCAGCACGCCTCCTTCTCGCAGTCGGTCTGTCCGAATCTCTGCCAGACACCTACTGTGCAACGCCGACCTGGGAGCGCAGGGGCAGGGTTCCCCTTATTGACTTTTCATGCTCATGCTTAAAAGAAGAAGGAGAGGTAGATCGACGTATAGAGACAAAATGGTCCCAAAGTTACCTGCCGACACGAGTCAAATTCTTGCCGAGGGACAGAGGTGGCACAAAGCTTCCTTATCAATGTTGGTCAGCCGGTCAGTCCATTCCATGTAAAATCCATCAAGGCACAAGTCCTGCCAAGGAGGTGCAGCACTAAGACACTAAATCGATGGATTCTTGGTATGCACATCCTGACTAGCTGAGTCCGCTCGACTTCAGTAACGTGTGGCAAGCCTGCCGGCCATTCTCTAAGTCTGCCTTGGTTCCTCTCCATCTTTATGCGCCAGTCCAGTCTACCGGTTGCATATGCAATCGCCGGCATAGCATGTCTTACGTTTGATCGAGCCCAGATTAAGAAGTCAATCGTTCAACGCCCATATTAACGAATCTGTTTCTTGGCGGATTGCCGCATTGGGCTTCGTGGCCCCAAGTTTCGAGACGCGTTGCGCTTGACCACTGTGATGCCCACAGCTTGGACGAAACACCCCTCCACGCTCCTTTCGTTCCAGGTGCTCCATAACAGTTTCCATGTATGAAGCGCTTCCCAAATCAAGAGTCTGATACTTTGCTTCCAAACCTGGCCGTGGGACGCACGTCAGCAGTAGTAACTGCGGGCGCTGCGGCCCATGCGGCCCTGATCGCAGTTTTCTCTGCTCTTCGAAGGCAAGCGCGAAGCCCTGCAACTGCTCGAGCTCAAAGGACATTACCAGCGCACATGCTCCAAGCAGCTCTGGCTTTGAGGACAGGAGTACGGCCACTGCGCTTCCAACACCACCATCATCAAAGCCCTTTAGTTCAATGACCAGTTTGCATTTTTTTCGAAGAGCAGTCTGGAGGGTCTCCTCCAAAGTACAAATGCAAGCTCCTTGGAGCAATGGCCTCTGCATGAGCTCTTCTGCGGTCATCTCTGCGATTTTTGGCATCCCGGTCTTTGCCGTCAGCCGATCAAGCGCTTCGTCATGAAACAGAAGAATCTCGCCGTCCGAGCTTAATCGAACATCACATTCACAAAGCTTGACTCCAGCATCCCACGCTGAAGTCAGTGCAGGCAAAGTGCACTCCAAGGGACGCTTATCAAGAAGCTGTGGGCAGTGAAAGCCTCTATGTGCCACCAGACCTTCCAGTAGCTGAGGCGGAAGCTGCCCCACCAGCTGCTCCAACCATTGGGACGCTGCAGCATGTTGCAGCATGTTTCTCCTACGAACACCAGTGGGCGCCAGATGGCGCAACTTTGGCCGGAAACGGCCAAGCCAAAACATGGAGATCGAAACAACACTCGGCACCCGGTCAGCCAATGGCTAAAAACAATCAAGTGGTCTCGAAATAGCCATCTGCTGTGAACTTAAGCTTGATCATCGATGGGTTGCTATGGCATTGGCCTGTCTCATGTTTACTGTACACTTGAATGCGCTCCATTTTCGCCACCAGCGCAACCACCTCAACGCGCGCTTTCAGCCCGTGGCCCCGTAGCATCTCGCGGAACAGCGGCACTACCATGTCTACACAGGATTACACAGGTACTTGCATGCACAGGCTACATGTGGTCAAAACCTGTCATGTGAGAGAACCGATCTGTCAACCCTGCTATGCAGATGCTACAGCACCGCAAGCGAAGGAGGATGGAAATCTGTACTTGATCTATCTGTCCGACTCCTCAGCCAGACTAGAACGAATCGAGCAAACGATAAGGCCGATAAGGATTATCTGCAACCTGGACCTGCGGACTTCTCCATGCTTGGCCGACAACCTGGCTTAGTTCAAAGCCAAGTGCCGCCTGCTGAAAGGTGCTGGTTGCATAAGCTGTCAAAAGTGAAACAAGGAAAGGTGTTAGTTTGCAATCAGCCCTCCATTCCGAACATCGACGTGAATTCCTGGCGGGTACACTCGTGCGGCGTGCGGCGGCCGTCACTGCGTTGCACCGCACCTCGTGTGACTTGAGGTCGCCGGGGCTGACACTCGGGCGTACTTTTTCCAAAGCCACCTGCACGCAGCGCGGGCAGCGCGCCTCTGTCTGTGATGGATGTTGGGGGTTTACTGCATAAGACGACCGCCACCGTGTGGGCTGGTTTCCGACATGCCCCTCGGATGCCCAGTGCTCACCGGCATTGCCCGAAATCATGGCGGATGCCACATTAACCCCCAAATACATTGATGCCCGTAGAGACATTTCAAAAATTGTTCAGAGGTAAGATAGTGGAATAGAAACGTTTAAAACTCTTGTCCCGCGAAGCGTTGCCTCAAAGTCGGATGCCTCGACATCGGGCCTGGTGGCATGCAGTGCATGGAACATGAGCTCACAAGAGTGTCGCTGTGGCAAAGCCAATTTCGATAACCGCAAGCCATGCCAGGAGTTCGACAGCAGCTCGGAGGCCGGGACCTGCACACATGGAGGCAGTAGGCTGTGCATGGCATGCATCGCTGTGCTGTGCCGTCGGAGCTTCGGTCTTTGGAAAATTGCGCCTCCATGAGAGTCATGGGCACAGCCCCAGGTTCCCCAGGACTGCACGGTGTCCAGAAGCTCCGCTTGCCATCACCTCTCGGTATCGCCGTCAACCCGGGTGATGAGATTTGGATTTGCACCGTTGCCGCGACTACCTTGCTTCTGTCTTGTTACCGAAAACCCTCTGGGGTTGGGTTCTCGTTTAGCGCTCTTACGCGAGCTGCGCGATATCGGGTTCCTGTCTGCACCCAAGGGGTTTAGAAGACGGTGGACGGACTTGGATGCAGGTGGTGGAATGACGGGAGGGGAGCGGTCAGACAGGCAGGGAGGATAGAGTCACGGGTGCGCGGGCGGTGGGCGGAGGAGGAGGAGGAGGCCATTCTTGCATTTCTTTCTTCGGTTGGATTTTCGGGTTCCAGCTTGACCTTGTTATTGTGTTCTACAGCGGCACTCTATTGACCTCATGACAGAGAACGAAACCTTCACTCCTCCACGAATCAGATGTCTACATGCACATTTCAAAGGACCGTGCTGCTTAGCGGCTTAGCAGATCGTGCGCTTTGCAAACTTTTCAAGCATTTCTCAGCAAATGACCAGCAGTATATATTGCCACCAAGGGATTGCAAAAGGAAGCGAGCAGCGAGACCGGTCGTGCAACGTCCGGCCTGTGACCCTCTCGACGCGCTTGAACGCTCTGGCTCGTTGGCACTTCCTGACAGGCCTCGGATAACGTCTTAGCAATCCAAAATCAGAACAGTTTGCGAATGCAACTCTTGGCACTCGAACCTTCTGACAAGGCGAAAGACAATCGCCATGATGTCGAGTAGTTCGAAGATGTACGGGCAGCATGCGTTCGTTATCATTGGCACTCAGACACTGCCCTCTTTTCCGGTCGGCAACCTACAAAGCCAACTTTTCCCGTCTCCGGTGTAAGATGAAGCTTGTATGACTTCGCGCAGCCGCTAAACTGTATTCACGTACCGTCCAAGTCTGACAATAAACTTCAGCATTCTTGTCTGCCACGCCTAGGAACACCAGGAAAAGCTGCGTGAAACCGGCCAGGCTCGTCACGAACAGAAATCGGGATGGCAAAAAAATTCAGCACCATGTCATGGCTGCAAGGTCAAGCTTCTCAAGAAGGACTCGATCCAAGCACCGTTTCGCGAGAGGCCGTCGTGCTCGTACACTCGCCGGAGGAATAGATAGGGCTTTGCCATTTTCTTTTCACATTTTGATTGCGCAGGACTGCTTACAAAACCTGAGTTCTGCGCACTTCTGGATCTGTCAGGACAAGTGCGTAACTTGCCTGACGAATCCGACGACGACAAGGTTTGAGACCCTCCGATTGAATGACAGGAGCATGGCCCATCTGAGCTATGTGAGGTCGCCATCACCTTAGTGGCTCCTGCAAAACGGTGGGAGCGGCGGATCGAACCTTTTGTTCGCCATGACCCCTGCGGCGTGCCATCTGCCGTTGCTTGTATGTTACTCAGACTCCTGCGAGCATCGCACGGGAGGCTCTCATAGAGCAGATCGCCCTGTGTTTCACGAGCATTCCAGCGGACCATGCTGCCCTGTTTTTGTCCGGGTCCGTAGCCAATGAAGTGCATGAGCATCTGCAGTTTGATCCGGGTGGGATAAGGGGGGGATGCATAAATAACACGTGTAAAATTTCAGGCACGCGTCTCTGGCGAGTCAACGCAACACATGTCTCGCACCAACC